CTCTGACCTATTTTTACTGCTTCTATTTATCAGCAGATTTACTCGGAAGATTCCGTGCTCATAACTTCTTTTTAATGAGTTTAATTTCAATAGCCAGTCATTTTAGTTAGTTAGCAGTTCTAATGTCCTTGTATAGTTCCCCAGCATATATTTGGCTCTACTTACGCTCTGTCCTGCATTCATGTCAGTATTTTACAAAATGTCATGTTTGTTTTTAATATCTTCTTTTTTTCACAACCCCTCTGACTCTGTAGGCTTTGGAGAGAAAGAATTTGCGGCTGCGTTTTGGAACAGTGAACATGAGGAAGAGCTAAGGGAGAGCGGTAGTTAAGGGAGAGTGGCAGAGTAGTTTTTGGGTTGATAAAGAAAGATAAGAAGTAGACAAAAACAGAGCTAAATCTGTATATAAACATTCACCGGAAAATTGTCCAGAAGGATGCAAGGCTAGAGGGCCATTGTGACTAGTTTGACCCATTGTGACCAGTGTGACCATTGTGACCATTGTGATCAGGTGGCCAGGTGACCAGTGCGACCTTTGTGACAATTGTGACCATTGTGATCAGGTGGCCAGGTGACCAGTGTAACCAGTGCGACCTTTGTGACAATTGTGACCATTGTGACCATTGTGACCAGTGTGACCATTGTGACCAGTGTGACCCATTGTGACCCATTGTGACCCAGTGTGACCAGTGTGACCAGTGTGACTAGTGTGACCATTGTGATCAGTGTGACCATTGTGACCAGTGTGACCAGTGTGACCCATTGTGACCCATTGTGACCCATTGTGACCCATTGTGACCATTGTGACCAGTGTGACCCATTGCGACCAGTGTGACCATTGTGACTAGTGTGACCCATTGTGACCAGTGTGACCCATTGTGACCAGTGTGACTAGTGTGATCAGTGTGAATAGTGTGACCAGTGTGACCATTGTGACAAGTGTGACCATTGTGACCATTGTCACCAGTGTGACCATTGTGACCAGTGTGACTAGTGTGACCAGTGTGACTAATGTGACCATTGTGACCAGTGTGACCATTGTGACCAGTGTGACCATTGTGGCCAGTGTGAACAGTGTGACCATTGTGACAAGTGTGACTAGTGTGACTAGTGTGACCAGTGTGACCATTGTGACCTGTGTGACCCATTGTGACTAGTGTGACCAGTGTGATTAATGTGACCAGTGTGATTAATGTGACCATTGTGACCAGTGTGACTAGTGTGACCAGTGTGACCATTGTGGCCAGTGTGACCATTGTGACCATTGTGACCTGTGTGACCCATTGTGACTAGTGTGACCAGTGTGATTAATGTGACCATTGTGACCAGTGTGACTAGTGTGACCATTGTGACCAGTGTGACCATTGTGGCCAGTGTGAACAGTGTGACCATTGTGACAAGTGTGACTAGTGTGACCATTGTGACCAGTGTGACCATTGTGACCAGTGTGACCATTGTGACCAGTGTGACCCATTGTGACTAGTGTGACCAGTGTGACCCATTGTGACCAGTGTTACCAGTGTCACTAGTGTGACCAATGTGACCCAGAGTAATTTTGCGCATGCGTAAAGAAGTGTGATTTGTGACGAGTCACACTATTACACAGTGTCATTTCCACAAAAATATATCGTGCATGGTATATCCCCTCTTCAGTGACTTTGTACGCAATGTTAAAAAAGTCTTTGTACGCAATGTTGTAGAAGTCCAAGCGCAGTAGAAATATGAAACAAGTCGTACAGTTTTAGTAAAAACTTTAACTAAAGCGAAAATGATGAAAGTTTTCCTGCAATTCTCATGTGTTTAGCACCTTCTCTCGTTCGAAAAGTATAAGCGCCATGTTGAAAAATTTTGCTGTGTAACTAAACTACCATGATGCCTTGGGCATTCCGCAATTGGCTCATTAATACATCTCCGTCGGTGGATGTGTCGGTGGTGACAATTAAATGCGAGCTAGCTTATTCCCCGTCTATATGCGACCCGATCACCCGAACGATTTCAAACAGGGACCGGCATTTCGTTTCGGTCATAATATTAATTACACTGGCCGCAGCCTGAGTTGGCCTGTGTACAGCCGTTACTCTCGACGAAGCGCGCGAGAGAATGACTGTGAGTTTGATGCATAATCCTTGTTCAGGCCAAGTGGATAGTTCCCAGATGATTGGGATAGCCTCTGATTGGACAGTGCTTTATTTGAATAATTTATGTCTTGACAAATGAAGATATTTCATTGGTTAATTGATAATTAGCATGCGTTTAAAATAACAACATAAAAATTTTAAAATTCCAGATCAAGAATTAAGATTTCCTTCGGGGCATACAAAAGTTTGAAAGACTTGATTATGAAATACAATCTGAAAAACGATACAACAGAAATATATGCATATATTTTTCGATGAAGAGATTTGTCTGAACAATGTTGAACGATGATCATTGCCGGCAAGTCCGGTGCACAAGCTCAGTTCTTGGCCTACATATATATGGCGTATACTTGTTTACAAAGACAAAGTATTAAATATAAACACAAAAGATGCATTTTAAAGTAATTGAAAGTTAACTGGTCAAGTAAGACGAATTTAAACACCTTACATGTAAAGAAAATGCTTTAGCGCGAGGAATCGGGACATATAAACGGATTGTCAATTTATTAAATTGTCAATTTCCGTCCGATAGTTTGTTGTATTTTATATGTTTGTCAGCATTGTTCGCAAGAATTTTATCTTGATTTTCTTAAACTTCGATACAGCATAAAATTAAACTCTACAAATTATATTTTTAGTCTTTCAAACTCTTTGTATGCGCCGAAGGAAATCTTGACTCTTGATCTGGAATTCTAAAATTTTTGAGTTTTTATTTTAAACGCCTGCTAATTATCAATTAACTAATGAAATAGCTTCATTTGTCATAAATTATACAAATAAAGCACTGTCCAATCATGGGCCGCTCCCCAAATCTGGGAACTATCCACGTGACCTGAACAAGGATTATGCATCCAACTCACCGATGTTCTCTCGCGCGCTTTGTCGAGAGTAACGGCTGTAACACAGGCTACAGCCAGTGTCATGGAATGCCGGTTCTGAAAATGCTCTTTTTTTCGGGATTTTTTTGGTTGACGCAACTGTGACTTTCCATTGCGGCATCGTGGGCTCAGGATTGCGCAATTTAGCCAAAACATCTCACGCTGATTAGGGCCAATTCTACACAATGTTAAACAGATTCGTATTTAATTAAGGTTACAGAACACCTTTGAGTGTTAATTTTGCCTAAAATATTTTTATTGGTTTCCATGAAAGCATTAGACTAGTTCTACTATCTGACCACGTTTGAACGAAAAATGTTGAAAACTCGCAGAGTTATTTAATAAAATACATTTCGCTGCAATAAGAAAAACATTGAAAATGTAGTATTCAAATTCAATTTCCTCCCGAAAAAGTTTACGGTAATTACTGATTTTCAAACGAGTTGTGCTCCTGCGAGTTTTAACCGATTGTTCTCAAATTTTCACAGGACATAGCTAAAGACGTCAGTTTCAAAATAGTGTTCGGCTTTTTTTTTAATTTTGGATATTTTAAAAATAAAGAGCAATTCACTCAAACAATTCAGAAATATATTGCAGTCGTCAAAGTAATCGCCATATCACCGGAATGACAAAATAAACAAAAATTTCCGAACACAATTTTTTAGAACAACTATTTTACTGTATAAAAATGATATTTTCATAAATATAACTTAAAACCAGCAGGAGCACAACTCAAGAGCGTAACGGTATCGCGATTTAAGATTTTCCTGAATAATTCTTACATTATTTTATTGTTTGTTAATAATATTTTGCATGCACTGGAGAACATTTGGTGAAAATTTGATGAAAATCGGACCGATATTGAGCGCGCAGTAGCGATTTTCCGCAAAGCGCCAAAAAGGGTGTCCTGTAACCAGGGCTCGACCGGGGCCCCGGCCCCGGCCCCGGCCAGAATTTGCACCCCCGGCCCCGGCCCCGGCCCGGCCCCGGCCAAAATTCTGGAAATTTGGCCGGGGATTTCAAGCTCAAATTTGTCAAATTCTTTCTATTATTGTCTTATAATTGTCAAGATTCAGGGAACCTTAGCAAAACTAAAAACTAGTAAAAACGTAGTAAAAACGTAGGAAAAACGTAGTAAAAACTAAAACACTGTTGATTCAACAGTGTTGAATAGTATAGTTTAATGAATATCAATGTATATTATCATGTAACTATTGTTCAGAGTCCAGACTCCAGGGACCATTCATCATTGTGTCTAGTTCTGTAGTCCCACTGGCCATAGTCCATAGTCTCTACTCTTCAGTCTTCATCGTCGCTCATGATTATTTCGACGTCACTCGTCTCGTCATCATGAACCTCTCCCACCACTGCCTCTGGCAGGTTCCCCTCGTTGGGGGCAACGAAGTCATCCGTTACCCTGGGTAGGTCCGTTTTGTATCCTAGAGCTCGAATATTGTACTTCAAGAATAGATTCGCTTCCATGTTATCAGGTTTTAGCGAAAGCCTCTTCGTCCCAAGAACGTTCTTTCCCGTACTGAATAGCCTCTCCGATGCAGCACTTCCTGGAGGAGGGCACAGGTAGCGGCGCGCCAAAGTTCCTAGATGTGGGAATTCGTTGTGTTTTACTCTCCAGTATGTCAGTGGATCCTTTGTCAAGTCAGCTATTCTTTTTTCTTTGAGGTATCGTTGTAGTTCCACCCTGTACGGTGCCTCCATCTCTTCATCTTGTGAATCCTGACCCGAGTCATTGTCAACAAGAACCGCAGCCCAACTATCTTTGCTGGTTGAAGGTTCGTCTTCGCCACTCTCCACCTCATGTCTTGGTTCCGCAACCTCCGCTAAATCGCTGGGAGTGGTAAATAGGCAAATAGCTATTATGTTATGTATAAACTAATAAAACTATGTAATGTATTACGTAAATTTAATCATCTGCATTTGGAAAATCAGTAAATCACAGACCCCAGTGTGTGATACTGTGATAACTTCGTGAGAATTGAGAAAGCATTTAATTTGAAAATTTCAAATTAAATGATAAGTAAGCCAAGCCCCACCTGATAATCATCTCCTTCGCGAGTACACCGTTCTCCTTCTTCTGGAAACCAGCAAGCTTGAACCTGGGGTCGCAATACTATACTGCTTTGTCTTTTCTATGTCGTACTTTACAACAAAATATCTGAAATTCAGTTAGACTGTTAGTCATGCATTACGTGCATTGAAGTACCGGTGCCTACTTACCTACCACCATGCTTTTTAAAAATAAAAAATATTATGTATTATCTAACCTCTTCATTTGCTGTAGGACTTCTGCTTTCAGAGTTCCTATCCCAGAGTATGTGATGGCTCCAATGTCAAAGTTAAGTTTCTTCAATAGCGGGATGACTTTAGCTATGGAAACGGTGTCAGATTCTGCAGCTTTCGTAGAAAGGAATATGGGCTTCAGAATGGCGATGACTTTGTCAACCAGTTAACAGTTGCCAGGGCTCATCTGATTGGTTGAATGAGTTAAGACTTAAGCATGCTATTAGCTTATTACATCATAGTAAGTAATCATACGAATGATACGATCATGAGTGATGACTGATGAGTCACATTATTATATCTTTGTATATTGAGTAATGAGTATAATATAATAATATATTAATATGGCATTAAGAAATAAGAACTATAAATCTATAATGCTGGTAAAGTTAAATTTTCAAACTTGTCCTAAGTTATATAATGACAATTTCTGCTTGTTTTCATGCTTGTTTTCAACTTAACTAACCTGTTGTCGTGCCTCGAGTTTCAACTCCGGATCTTGCTGGCTGAGGGTAATAGCTGCCTTCTTCGAGGTCACACACTGCAGCATTAGATAATACGAGTTCCATCGGGTGTCACACGGCGTTATCAAGGCGGTGTCAGTGCTTTGGTTCTCATTCAAGATCCGTTTACCTGTAATAAGTTTGTGTAAAATGATATCAATTTATTATCTAATGGTGTGTTAACTTACTGTACTAGAAGTCTAGAACCCGATTCAAGATATTGACTTCATTTTTTAGTTACCTGTTGGAGTCCGAAGTTTGATGATTAAATTCTTCACTTTCTTCACTATCAGTTTAACTCCGCTCTGCTGGAATATTGAGTGCTTCACGACGAGAGCCAAGAGGTGCAGAAAACAAGCGATCCAGTTGAAATCTTCAAAAGCCTTCTTCATGTTGGCTGCTGAGTCCGAAACGACACAGTGAAGTCTCGCTTCTGGCAACCCCCACTTGTGAAGTACATATCTGATCCGTGTTTTGATCGATTCCCCTGTGTGGCTAGCATTATAGGGAACACATCTTATCACTACAAGTTTTCTGTAGAAATCCTCTGAAATGAAGTGGACTGTAACACCAAGGTACGAGTCTAGTGCCAACGACGACCAAATGTCGCACGTTATGCAGAAGTAGATCCCGGCTGTGATAGCTGTTGACAGAGATTGCAGCAAAGCTCCTTGAGCATTTTTGTAGAGTTTCGGCATCATCGTACAGCGGATGACCTTCTCACTTGGGATGTTAAACTTCTTATTTAAGGCAGCTAAAAAACTTTGAAATTGTTGATTCTCAACCACTGTGTACGGTTGTAGATCATCAAATATCCAGTTCAACAAGAGTTTCTCGGCCTGGACTTGATTAGGTGAATCGCTCGCCCATTTCTGGTTTCTTGTCAGGAAATCTTGAAGCGATGGCTGCGGCTGTTCAAGTTGGTAGAGTCGACTCTTGGCTGCAAGGACCTCATTATCCAGCTTCTGCTTCTTAGATGTATATTCTTCTTGAGCAGCTTTCGCTAGTTTGTGTTGCTCCTTGTGCTTGGAATTTAAGTGGTCCCAAAGACCCTTAACAGAATAAGCTTTCTTTGCTGCATCGGCTTTACCTCTCGCAATCTTAGTAGAGCACAAAGAACATTTAGCAATGTGTGGAGTATCAGCGATAATATTGAAGTATGCCCAAACCTCAGACTCTTTCCGCTTTGCTGCCATAGCTGGCTAAATAATGATAATCTAGGTGTTAGTAATTAAAATAATATGTTTCAGGTTGCTTAATGAAATTGACTGTAGGTACAAAATTGACTGTAGGTATATCGAAAGCAACAAACAGAAAAGATACGTACCATTTATTCTCGTAAAATGTTTCCAATATGGCTGACGATAGCAATAAACCGCTGTCCAGTAAATTCCACTGGCCTTTCCAAATCCCGCTTAAATAACATCGCTCAACATCACATAATATCAATGTTCGACCAGTCCCCGGCCCCGGCCCCGGCCAAAATCATGCACCCCCGGCCCCGGCCCCGTCCCCGGCCAAAATCATGCCCCCGGTCGACCACTGCCTGTAACCTTAACTACGTTACAAATTTTAGACGCTGTAATTGTGGGACGTATTTTATTATATTTCATTGCGCATGCGCTTGAATTTTTCTGTGTTTTTCGATATGATGTCGCTGAACTCCGTCGGTTTTGTAATTTGTATGGACTTTTATTGTGCCGTCCTCCGTATGTTTGTGATCATGAAGTGGCGGCCGTCAAGAAGTGAAGAACGTCTACATGTTTCAAATTATTTTTCCCCGAGCCGACGTGCGAGGGTACTAATTCCGCCCAGCTATTTGCACCCTGAGAGACGAAAGCATTAGCGAAGTCTAAAGTTCATCAATGATCGCGGGCGTGGGTCACTGTGCGTGGGTGGTCATCCTCACTCATCTCATAATATAGCGTCACGAATAGCCAACTGTCATGAATAGCCAAAACTGATTGGTCCAATTTAAAATTTGCATTATAACGACTGCATGACGACAGCGAAATAGCAAACATTTCTTGATTTGATCATTTCTTGCAAATATATTTCATTTTGCAAGATTTTGTAATTTTGAAAAGCTTTTTGATAAAATAAAGGCGAAAAAATTGCTAAAATAAGAGAGTAAAGGCGCCGACGTTAACGAAGGTATATTTGTTTTAATAGAACTAAACTAACTTTACCGATAAACTTTGAGTTCGAAATAAAATGATTCCAATTAATTCTCGCATGCAAATAACTTTGCTTATTATAATAAAAAGGGTAATCAATAAAGAAGCATTGAAATAACATGCTGTCTTGTTTCATATTTATACGCAGCGATCGGCTTTTAAAGTAATTACAGTATATTAAAAGAAAACAATACATCAATATTTAAAAGAATACTAAAGCGTTTTGCGAAGCGTTTGTGGTTGAATTTTACCTTAAATTGAAGCTTATATTATGTATAATAATATACAGTACCAGTAACATATGTATGTTTTGGAAATTGGTAATTTTGTAATTAAAAGTGATCTTTTTAGGGGATTTTTCATTTGTAAAAATATTCTTAAAAAAATGATCGTGTTACCATGACAACAACTTTGTATACTTCAATGGTTTGTCAGCAAGTCGAGGGTTTCTGCATGCATGTATTTTCTAGTTAGAATATTGCAATGGTATTTTACCAACAGCGAGGCCGGTGTGAACGCCCGAGCAGGCGTCTTGTTTATAAAAGATATAGGGCCCTACATGAGACTGGGATAGGACGAAAATAACTAAGACTGGTCTTAAGTCATTCCGCCTACTGGACCGAGCCGACTAACTTGAGACCGGCATGAATTCAGGCTGGCCTGAATGTAATCACAAATACATTGCAGACCGGTCTCGGACCAGATTTTAAATTTTTTTTGGTTCCATACACGAGCACTAGGACACCGAATAAAGACACACAGAAGGTCGACTCGAGTATCCGCTGCCATGCCATGATTCATTCAAAATGCTGACGCCATGGTACTAGCCAGTGCGCGTTTGAGAAGCATTCCCCTTGGACGTCCGCCATTTTGAATATTATTAGGGGGTGAATGCCTCTCAAACGGGTTCTGGCTAGGACCATGGCGTCAGCTCTTTGATGACGAATTACGGTTACGCCAAACTCATTGGAAAATCATAGGAAAAACCAAGAAGTAGGGCTTCTGTATAGTCTATGCTATGGCTAGCATGCAAAACGAAGCTAAAATACTTAGTTATACCAGTTTTATGGGTAACGTCCGTGTTGACAAAAACGTAGCTTGTTTAGGCTCGCTAATGATCTACCCATTACTTTATTACTGGATTGCCGTTGAGGCACTAAGTAACATTGAACTGCCCATTGAGGCACAAAATTACATTGATCTGCCCAGAAAATGGTTAAATGTTTTAGATTAAAGATATAAAATTTCATAAACTGTTTGTTGGCAAGCTGAGCATCACACTAGACAAATTTAGCTGTTTCTCCGGTATCTCAAGCAACGGTTTAAGTTCTACCACCTATGTTAAGGTTACAGGACACCCTTTTTAGCGTTTTGCGGAAAATCGCTACTGCGCGCTCAATATCAGTCCGATTTCCATCAAATTTTCACCAAATGTTCTCCAGTGCATGCAAAATATGGAAAAGTTCTAAAATTCACAAGCAATAAAATAATGTAAGAATTATTCAGGAAAATCTTAAATCGGGGTACCTTTACGCTTTTGAGTTGTGCTCCTGCTGGTTTTAAGTTATATTTATGAAAATATCATTATCATACAGTAAAATAGTTGTTCTAAAAATTGTGTTCGGAAATTTTTGTTTATTTCGTCATTTCGCTGATATGGCGAATTCTTTGACGACTGCAATATATTTCTGAATTGTTTGAGTGAATTGCTCTTTATTTTTAAAATATCCAAAATTAAAAAAAAAGCCGAACACTATTTTGAAACTGGCGTATTTAGCTATGCCCTGTGAAAATTTGAGAAAAATTGGTTAAAACCCGCAGGAGCATAACTCGTTTGAAAATCAGTAATTACCGTAAAATTTTTCGTGAGAAAATTGAATTTGAATATTACATTTTCAATGTTTTTCTTATTGCAGCGAAATGTATTTTACTAAATAACTCTGTGAGATTTCAACATTTTTCGTTCAAACATGGTCAGATAGTAGAACTAGTCTAATGCTTTCATTGAAACCAATAAAAAAATTTTAGGCAAAATTAACACTCAAAGGTGTTCTGTAACCTTAATGCGTAGCTAGACCTTGATAATTAAAACTGTTTTGCATTAGACAAAGTAAAATAGAATATAGCGTTAGACTAATACCAACCCAGGATAATTCTCGGCGGATTCTGACTTAGCTAATTGGTCAACTAATAAAAGTTTGTACAGGTATTCAGGTTGGAAGAATTCAATCTTGCCTGAGAACAGACCTCAATATGAGAAGGAGGCTCAAAACGTACTCTGATTATGTAGATTATAATTATACATTTGCGGCTAAATAATAAGTGACGCATGCAGGTGTTTTCTTATATTAGAGAGTTTTAGCTTGAAGTTTACGCCAAACCTCAAACCGCTAACGAAGTTTTTGATTTTACAACTCTATATTTATAACAGCTTGGCACCAATTTTGAAATATAAACAATTATTAAATTTGTGCTCTTTAGCAATGATTTAAAAGAGAGCAAATTAAGCACTAGTCACGTATTCGCGAAAGCAGTAAATTAAGATTTAGCGTTTGAAGTATTAAGCTTAATACCGAACTCATCACACAAGTAGTATACTATTAATTATGTATACTTTAATCCAAAAATCCAAAAATAAAACTTACAAAATTAAAATATATTAAATTTCTCACAGTCTCACGAATCACGATATGTCTCACAGTCCCAATGTTGTTTTTATTCTCCGTCTATCAACTAATTGCTCTTAGGGACGGACCATTAGATATTTGAGGGGGTGGTTGCAGCTTTTTTCCTTGCAGGATTTTTTTTTGGACGCACATGTTGTGCACGCTTTTTTTTCGTTTAATAGTCAAACGCTTGCAAGAATTTTTTTATTTGTAGTTTTTAATAGGGGGCCGGTTACATATCTTTGAAAGAAAATTTGATAGTGTAAACAAGCCCTTTCGACAGCTATGACTGCTCCGTTTCCGGCCAGTGGCGTAGCCAGACCTTCATTTTTGGGTGGGCGAAGTTCACGCCGAAGGCGTGAGAAATCTAGGGTCCTTGAAATGCGATTTCAAGCAGTTTGGGGGTGAAATCTAGCAGAATCCCAAAGATTATAAAGTACATCGAAGACATTAATTTCCCCAGACATTTCTACTCGGAATCAAAGAAATTGGAAAAGTCACCTTGAAAACAGGAGGAGGGGTCAGTGTCACCTTATTTCCCCTCTGTGATGCTGGGGAGAGCATGTGACTTTGATCAGAAATGTTGCATTTAAATCATTCTAGGTTGTATGCGACACCATTTCCGCATTTCTCAAAATTACGTTGCTCTTTATACGAATAAGTCTGAGAAGAAATATTCATGCTATGATAGTGCATACATGTATTTAATTAACAGTTAAAAATCTAAACTAAATCTATTCTTCTTGGAACCGTATCTACAAGACTACAAATGCTTTAACGAGATTTTACAAATCAAGTTCCTCCAGTATTAATTATAGTTTCAGCTTCGAGCATGTAACGTGTCCCCCTCCCCCAAATTCTCTACGGATTTAGATGTGCAATAAATCAAGGCAGATTATCCGCGCTCTCAGACTCGGTGGTTGTCGCACAACTTCTGGTATATACTTCATGTCTTGCAGCTATAATGAATCTATGTGTGGGATTGGGCATAGCCCTAGGACATGAAGTATATACCCTACCTCCTCTGCACGCCATACAGCCCGTATGCCCGTTGGCAGGTTTTATCGCCTTAATTTGTCAAACTCCTGTGCCTTCACAAATTTGGAAGCTTCGCATAATGAAATAATGGGTGATCATCAGGATTGTCACGGCATTCTATATTTTATATCCAGAAGTTCCAAATAGGGGTCCAGGAATTGGAGTTTACTCTCATAGGATGGATGCTTGCACGAATTTTTTTTTTCAAGTTTTCTTCTCGCACGTTTTTTTTTAAGGATAAAGGCTTGCTCGAATTTTTTTTTGATTTCTGCAACCACCCCCTCAAATATCTAATGGTCCGTCCCTTACTTCAAAATGTCAATCTTGCTAAAATTAGCTATTACTTCTTGATAAAAGTCCCCGCCCCTTGTCACGCCACCTAATCTGGCCGATACTATAAAGTTCCGGTTCAGATTTAGACCGCGAGTGGTCCCTCGAAGAAATGAAGGACCGCAGACAACACAGCAAGAAACGAAATACGCCCACTTTTCGCTCTTGTCAAATTGGCTCCGCCTTTGTATAAACATTACTATATCCAATTAAATCTATCCAATAGGAAACCGTTAATGTCATGTTTATTTTAATACAGGGTATATAAAAAAAGGTAATCGAACTTCAGCGCGCTATTGTACGTGAATCACTCCGGATATGAACATTTGTTTTTCATAATCGAAAAGATGAGGTTTTAGCTGTTGAATGACATGTTTCATGCCAAATGGAGAAAAAATAAGCAAGTACGAGTCCGATAAAATATGTTAGTCAGAATCGCATATTACAACGGTGAAAATATGCGATCTGACTAGCATTATGCGATCTGATTAGCATTTTTTATCAGACTCGTACTTGCTTATTTTTTATCCATTTGGCATGAAAAACATATCATTCAACAGTAGTCTAGGACCTGTATATGAGTTTGTATGCACTTCATTTACCCCAAGTAATCTCAACTATCGGGTATCATGTAATAACTATCAAGTAATATCTATATAATATAATAATATATAATATAATATAATAAATATATATATATATATATATATATAATATAATATTATATATATATATATATAATATATCATGTAATAACTATCATGTAATATCTAACATGTAATATCTAATAACTATCGGGTTACATGGCAGCAGGCCGGGTACTGCTGACCTCCGAATATTTCGATTTTTCCAAATTTAAAATTAAGGCGAATTTATTTAAATTTGTAATTAAACTATTTCTAAACACTCCGTTGTTCTGAGAATATTTTCTTTGTGCTGGAAACTCATCGTTTGATACATTTATCGTGGATTGTTTTATCGTCCTCGTCTGAGTCGTAAGATTACAGACAGCGTGAACTCTTGTTTAGTTTGGTTTTACTTTTGATATCACTGCTGTGCTGATCACGGAAACATAAAGAAAATTTTTATTTTATTGGTGTAACGCTCATTTCAAGTTCAACCAGCGTTTTCGTGTTGTATCCTGAATTATTCATCGTTCTACATATTTTGACGGTTGGCTTTCACAGTGTTTGTTATTCGTCGCTTAGTAACAGTACTTTAAATTTTCCCGCGTGTATAAAGTACTTTATTGTATATCAAACAGTCTATCTACAAATGGTAACTTACGACTGTCTGCTTTGATTTCATCCGCTGTTCCTGGTTTACCTCCTATTTTTTTATTATCTCTTGGAAAGCCTTGGAAATTATCGTTAGCAAACTACAGAATAATTTGTCCTCGCTTGAACTTTCTATTTGACCCCCGAAATTCGAGACTTTGCTCCCTGATATCTCGTATATTCCTCATCGGCTGCGGGATTTTCCCTGTCATTTGTAAATCATGGCGGCCGGTCGCCTACTCCACCAGCTCCTGTTTCTTCTTCTTATCTTCTTACAAAGTGCTAAATATAACATCAATGGTACTGAAACCTCACCTTCTTTAACAAAAGTACAGATTGATTTTAAAGTTTGGCACTCTGGAATTAACTCGTCTCCCTCAACTGTGTTCTACCGTCGGAAAGGTTTTATGAAAAGGAGACTAAACTACTATCTTAACTGCTCTGCTTCGTTCAACCCAATAATGGTATCTGCTATACGTAGTGGAGACATACATCCACATCCAGGTCCTGTACCCCACAGCGCAAGTACCTCTACCCGAAAACAAACTCCACACTCTTTCTGTCCGGAAATCAAGTGTCTATATATGAATGCGCGAAGCTTAGTAAACAAATCAGCAGAATTTCAATCTCTCGCAGCAGACCTGGACCTAATCGCTGTCACTGAAACTTGGTTAAAACCTCATATATTGGACTGTGAGATCTTGCCTGGTTTAGACTTTTCCATTCATCGACGCGACAGAAAGGATAAAACTGGAGGTGGAGTTATGCTAGCAGTAAAGAACTCCATACAAACTCTTCGTCGTAAAGACTTAGAAGGTGATGCGGAAATTGTGCTATGCGAACTTCGACCTGAAGCCAGGCGTAAAATCCTGGCTGTTGTGTTTTACAGGCCGCCCAATTCCAACCTTGACCATCTGAAAGAACTCAAAAAGTCACTACGCCACGCCTCTCAATTCAATTTCGATCAAATAATCATCTGTGGGGATTTTAATCTGCCTGATATTGATTGGTCTACTGGCATTGCATCGTCTTCCGAATCATTGCACAACTACTTTACTAAATTTGTCAAAGACAATTACTTGTGGCAGTTGGTTAACTTTCCAACGAGAAACAACAACATTCTTGACTTGATTTTAACAAACATTCCTGACAAAATACATAATCTACATGGTTACGACGACATTATCTCTACCGATCACAAATTAATCGGTTTTGATCTAGATCTAAGGGTCCCTAAGAAACCGGACATTAAACGCTCCGTCTACAACTTTAAAAGAGCAGATTGGTCTAGTCTAAACAACTCACTCCAGAACACCTCTTGGGACCAGTGTTTTGTACCTAATGATGTGGATGCTTCTCTCTCAAATTGGTGTGCTGTTTTTCTAACCGTTGTTAACCAACACGTGCCTAAATCTAAGACCAGAAATATCCATGATCATCCTTGGATTGATAAAGAGCTTTTGTCTCTCATTAAGAGAAAAAACATGCAAAGACTAAAAGCCAATAGATCAGGTAGTGTTCATGACGCTCAAAAGTTTAAAGATCTTCGACGCCTAACGAAACAACTTATCTCGCAAAAAAAGAAGGAGTACGCAACTAAACTCAGAGACTCTGTCACGGAAAACCCGAAACGGTTCTGGTCTTTCGTAAAATCCTCTAGGTCGGTCAAAATCACCGCGAACTTCCTTCGAGATAATCAGTCTTTTATTACTGACAGCCGTGACAAGGCCAACCTACTGAACTCCTTCTTCCACTCAGTCTTTAGTCCTGCTCAAGCTACCACTACAACATCTAATCTCCCATTCTCCTCCGACACAGCCTTATCCAATATCCAACTAACAGAAAACGAAGTCTTTAAAGCTCTTGACGGTTTGGATCCAAGCAAAGCATGCGGACCTGCTGGGATACCTGGAAAAGTTCTCAAGATGACGGCTAACATCATCGCACCATCTCTCTGTTATATATACAATCTTTCTTTGTCCCAAGGTGTAGTTCCTGCTTGCTGGAAGCTTGCAAACGTTTCACCTGTGTTCAAAAAAGACGACCCAACGCTCGCTTCTAACTATAGACCCATATCCCTATTATCTATAATCTCAAAAACGTTTGAACGCTGTGTGTATAACCACTGCTATCCCCATCTATCACCACATTTCTACTATCTACAGCATGGTTTCTTAAGGGGTATATCTACGGTAACTCAACTACTCCACGTCTACCAAGAAATCCTAGATCTCTTAGCTGGTGGGAAAGAGGTTGATGCCATCCACCTAGACCTGTCCAAGGCCTTTGATCGTGTTCAACATCACATGCTTCTGTACAAGCTTGAGCAATACGGCATATCAGGCTCGCTTCTTCAGTGGTTTCGTAGTTACCTGAGTGACAGATATCAGCGCGTTGCCTTAGATGGGAACCTCTCAGACTGGCTCCCCGTGACCTCTGGGGTCCCACAGGGATCCATCTTAGGACCCCTCCTGTTTCTAGTATACATTAACGACATGCCAGAATACGTAGGACAGGGCTCGAGTATTGCATTATTTGCGGATGACTCTAAACTATATTGGCCAATAAACTTGGCATCTCACCATCTGTTGCAATCGGACCTTTCAGGCCTTCAAAATTGGAGTAATGACTAGGGCATGACGTTCAACCCATCCAAGTGCAAAGTGATGCACATGTCTCGGAAAAAGGTTTGCTCCTCTGCTTCACTCCAATACCACCTGAACGACAAACCCCTGGAAAGTGTGACACACATCTCTGACCTGGGTGTCATCGTTTCCAAAGACCTCTCCTGGGCTAATCATATTGAAGACAT